CTGAATTGAGAGCCTGCATCGATGACTAATGAATTTGAATATATATCTGCGCCTCAAATCGTGACGCGAAATTCTCATTGGTCAGATGCTATAATTTATATGTTTCCGCTGAGCTCTATATATGTCAACTGCTGAAGCACTATGCATAAAAAACACATTAACTGATCAAATTGGTCTTGGCCGTCTTATCTCAAAGCACGAAATGTTCTGTCTTGAGAAAACAGTATTTAAAACATTTGAACTTTTGCTTGAATATCTTATATTTCGAAAAACAGTATAAACTGTACGGTCTAAATTTAGTTTGCACGGTCTAAATTTAGTTTGCACGAAAGTTGTAAACAACACCATATAAGGATAGACATTCCATATTTGGAAAAACGAACGTTACGGGGCAGATATTCAAATTCATTAGTCATCGATGCAGGTTCTCAATTCAGCTTGAGAGCCTGTTCGCAGGCTACAGTATGCCTTGTTTGATATTGTGAACACATTCATTCATGTGCAAAACTGGGCGTCCATACGGATGCTTAATATACGTATTGGTGATTTCCTCTATACTATCCTGTTAAGCACGGCTAATATTTTCTAATAATTCATAATTCGCTCTAGCCTGTGTTCCAGTCATATTGCAGATCATAATAACGACGATATGGCACTGAAAAATGTGAATGCACTCTTGAAAATGCACTCCTTAAATACTTTCCTTAAAATGCACAAAATCATGTGAATGCGAAACATGCACATATCATGTACCGTCACTTGTCGTTCACGCTGTCGCTCATGTACATAATACATATTCGTCAACAAACAGACACACATATATTATGTCAATTAATGAAGGCTTCTATGTAGGAAGTACGGTTTCGTTTAGATTTCCTATAAGTCGATGGGGGGTTGATTTTATCCGCTCACTCGTTTTACTCCTTAAAATGTGAGTCGACTCGTAGCAAGTCTAGGTGACTTCGTTTTAAGCACTCTAGACTCGACCAAAATGTTGGATAAGACCTACTCACTTCTAAATAGCATGTGGCAGTTTGTGGTTTATTGCCCTCCATAGTTTTACAAGCTTAGAAGAAGACCAACTCCCCCTAAATTTTCACGCAATCACAATATCGCTGTTTCAGTAAAATGTCTTCACTCTTTAGCTTACACAGCTATATACTATTTGTTCGTAGTTCATATACAACTCTGTATATGATATGGTACATGTTGCAAGCTTGGATATATGTGAAGTAAAGATCGTACTTCACATAGATCATGCTATATAATACAATATATGTATACTATAATTATGAACATTACAAAATATGTCGAGTCATAGCTTGGAACGCGTTAAAAAAACAATACACCTAACCTCACGTCGTATTCTGACTTGTGATGTCGTCCGATATCTTTTAAGAAACATAAATCCATTTAGTTCAAGCCATTTAGTTTGCCCTGTTAAGTCGCAAGCACATATCAAATGGCGTTATAGTGAGAGAAAATTCTTAATTTCACTGTGATAATTGTGGTCATGGTGTAAATCATATACATATCTCAAATGACGTCTATGTTTGGTAACTTCGGTTCAGTTGACTATTAGCGCTAAGGATAAGCTTGAGAAATCGTGATTTCCGACAACACGAGTTAAATTTAATTCGGCGTCATGTCTTATTACACTGATCCGGCGGATCAGTGTAATAAGACATGACGCCGAATTAAATTTAATTTTTTACACTTAGCCTACGTTCGTGCAGCAAACACCATGACGTGCCTACCTCCTCCGCAGGCGCTTAGGGAGCATTTCGGGCAGGTTCGGAAAATGCGGGTTGCAGGCGAGAGCGCCTGCCGAGTAATGTTTTCAAGATGGCGTATGCTATAATTCGAAATTTTCATTTTGACTTTACTATTATGACTTAATATACAATATACATACCAGCACTGATCTAATAGATCTAAATAATATTTAGAAATAGCATCCAGTGGTCTTGGCAGACTAAAAAGTACTTATAACTAGCCACCGCTTTTCTATGACGATGGAGACTGTCTAATATAAAGTGTTTATACAAATTATGCCAATGCAAATACAACATCAACGATATTATATCCGCTTTCTACATATTTTGCGACTAAGCCTATGATAAGCCATTCCAAATACTTTAGATAAGATATAAATATCAGTCTGCATGAAACATTAAAAGGACAATTTTAAAGATAAATATGGTGAAATTATATTTGCATATTAAAAATATATATACATTTACAATGTAAATAGAAGTAATATAGCGTCTCATTGTTCGCTTGTTCTTTGTCTTTTGAGTATAATAACACAATGTCTGCATGTAGAATTTCCATTACCACAAAAATCTACATACCAAGTCCATTTCAGAAAACGATATATTGAGAGTATCCACATCCGAGGTCCACATCGCTGCCGTCGAACGATGAGCAGTGAGCACAACATATTAATTGTCAACATATGGCGTTATTTAAGCGTGTCCTGTTCATAGCGATCGATATCATTGTGTTACGACTGCTTGTTATGAATTGCATTATAAAACGCGTCAATGATCTACATGATATTTAATCAGGTAAAATACATACATATTTCATTTCACAGAATGACATATTATTAAGAACGTCAACATCGTCGAAATCCTCGATTTTTCCCTCTGTTCGTCGCTGGTTTCGGCCATGACTGCCCTGAAATATCACAAATACTCTACCATACACGGGACAATAGTTTTGGGATAGGATGGTTCATATTTCACGAAGATTTTTAAGGATTGAAAACCGATACCCGGGAAACGTCACTTCTGCCCAGGAACCGACTATTATTCAGCAGGCCTTTCGTCGCCTTCCGTTCTTCCCTGATCTCAAATTTCACGCCCGCAAATTATTCCCGCCCGCATCGAAAGGCCTGCGGAGGAGGTAGATGACGTGCTAAATGTTTTCCTTATTCAATACTGATTTCATATGCATATTTCCATTGACTGATCGGTATAGAGCGTTTTATCGTAAGCCATTTGCTTTACAAATTATAAACATGACTTCAATGAGAAACTTGCGTGCGTATGAAACTACAGGTTTTCAGCATAAAATCTACACACCAGGCTGTTCCGGTGTTGTTCATTGCTTGCAAAATGAAACGTTTGCGAGTTCGCGAGAAAATACTCAAACATTAATAAATTTTCACATGATATAATTTCACTAAACAACGAAAAGTCATCATTACAATGACATATAGGCCATAGCTGACGAGAGCGTCAAGCGAATAAGTTATTGTGAGGAAGAAAAGCAATTAATTAAGATTAGTGTCAAGATAAGATGTGTTAACACAATTAGGCTAGAAGCGATAATAAGGTAAAAATGTATAAGTGTTTGCTGCCAAGAGGAAATTTTAAGTTAATAGGTTTTGCGGCGTAAAGATTCATTGAACTAAGCTGCGCGACAGCTTCAAAACAAAGTAGCTATATGGATGTAATAAGCGGGAGGATGCAGACAACTTAATTAATTGCACAAGCTCTTACTGTAGGTATTTTGTTTCTAGGTAGATATATATAGGGGGCTGAATAAAAAATATGAATAAAGCGTTTCATAAACCAGCGAGTACTGCATGTTGTTATTGACAGAAACTTTCTCGTATAATAAACACGCATAATCAAAACTGTTAATAAGCTTAATTCGCTCTACTCGCTGATCTAACTATATTCAATATAAAATTACAACGTCGCGTCATCATAACTTTCATCTATTACGAACATAATTATCATATAACATCACATACAACATCAATATCGGCATGGGTTTAGCCTGCATGTGCGGGAATATATATATAATACACTACACTCTACAGTTAAAATATTTAAGTTTCAGCAGCAACTGGATTTGGTGCATGATATAAAAATTTATTACATTCACTAACTTAATTCCCCTAGTGTGTCGCATATAAAAACAGGTACACTGACTAATGCTTCTCCACAACTCACAGCTGCTGAATTATTTTAATCCCTCAAACCGTTTAACGGCTATCCGTTAAACGCACACGTTCCTCTATCCGTTAAAACGGATTCCTTCATCCGTTTAAACTGGTGGCTTCATCCGTTAAAACGGATGCCACTATCCGTGAAAACGGCTTCTTCCATCCGTTTAAACGGTAACCTTTAACCGTGAAAACGGTTTCTCGAAAGCTTTAAAAAATATCATGGCACCGTTTTAACGTTTTCGAAGACCGTGAAAACGGTTTATACAAACCGTTCACTATCCGTTTGCAATCCGTTTTTTTGGCCGTTTTAACGGAAAAACGTTAACGTATGTTTTCCCAAAGAGGGTCACATTTTATGTTACTTCAAAACATCTTTGGTTACATTCGTGCAATGAATTACGTTAAAATCAAAGTTTTCAAAAAAGGCATACAAAAGTGTAGCTAGGGTTCCCTGTCTGTGTATGTATTATATTTATTTACTTGTATTTCACGTTTTGATGTCACAATTGCCTAAAAAGATCGGTGACCACCGATTTTTAACTGATAATTTATTTCTTTAATGCATTTTACACTTCATATCCGAAATTGAAAGAAAAATCATTTCTGGATCTTGAAAAAAAACCCTTTATCAATGCATGTTCACAAAGAAAAATATGTAAAGAAATGTGGAAAAAACATTTATGGATCAGAATTGTACACGTTAGTAGTTTCATTTTGCTCAAAACACAATATTTTTCACAAATGATTACAAGATAGATTTACTAAAGCCAAATTCTCGCTAAAAACGTCAATACATACCGGGCTGTTGTGGTTTTGCTTTTACTCGTAATGAGCGTCAAGATGGCGCCATATTGGGGTAAAGTTGGTATATTGTGATTGTCATATCTTCTTAACGAGTTCGGTGACCCCGACTTTTTTGTGCGATTTTACTTTAAGTATATCATAAACTCCATCCCTGGGAAGTTTCAGCAAATTCTCATTTAGGGAACAATTACTGCGGAATTACCTTAAGAGATTTCAAAGATATTTGCTGGCAATGGATTTCAAGTCGAAAACACGGCAGCGGGCTATGCTTTTGTACGCGGCAGGTCCTGAAGTGGAGGCCATTTTTGACACGCTACCGGATAATGGTGACGAAGATGACTTTAAGACGGCGTGTGAAAAGCTCACTGAATATTTTAGTCCTTCTAAGAATGTACCTTTCGAGGTATATAAATTTCGTCAAGCTAAGCAACAAGAACATGAGACATTAGATGCATATTATACTAGATTATGTACTTTGGCCAAAACATGTGAATTTGCAGACACAGATACTGAGCTGAAACAACAAATAATTGAAGTATGGTTATCTAACAGATTGCGACGAAAGATTTTAATGGAAAAGCATTTACCCTGTCACAAATATTAGATTATGGAAGAGCATTAGCTCGTACAGAACAGCAGACAAAGGAAATTATAAAAAAGGACATTTCTGATGGTAATGAGGAATATACTAATCAATTACAACAGGATCATCGAAGACCTAGAACAACCAGTAAGTACTCGTCATCATCTAGTAAGAGATGTTTTAAATGTGGACTGGGGTTTCCACACAAGGATAACCAATGTCCAGCTGTAGATAAAGAATGTTACAAGTGTCACAAAATGGGGCATTTTGCTCGTGTATGTAAAACAACCGGAGGAGCTACTAGTTCATTCCAGCGTGTTAATAATGTTGATGAACGGCATTCATCAACCCACAAATCAACAAGTAATTCGAGTAGTGACTCAGACAGCGGTTCAGAACACATGTTCACAGTTCAACAAGCACAACAAAGTAAGCATCCCTATTCTACGATCCGTGTTAATGGAGTCCCGATGAAAATGATGGTGGACAGTGGCGCGTCTGTTAACGTTTGGGGTCCTGAGGATTTCGAACATTTAAGCAAACAAAGCAAAGAACCAATATCCTTAAAAAACCCAACACAAAGATTCGTGCTTTTGGAGAAAATAACGACGAGTCTCTACTCTACGCGGATGTATTTGATGGTGTAGGACATCTTAAAGTGTTTGAACAAAAACGGCACATTGACGATAGTGTGCCACCTGTGGCCCAAACATACCGTAGAATACCTTTTAATCTTCGCCCTCAGTTAGAGAAGTGGCTTCAAGAGTTGCAGGATAATGATTTGATTGAACCTGTCGTTAATAAAAGTACAGAGTGGGTCAGTGGAGTAGTGATCGTGCCTAAGCCGAAAACTCCGGACGAAATACGTGTATGTGGGGACTATCGCAGAGTTAACGAAGCCATTAAGAGGGAACACCACCCTATGCCTACAATTGAGGAACTAACAGATGATATGAGCAGTGCAGCTCATTTTTCTTGCCTAGATTTAAGAAGCGGATACCATCAAATTGTGCTTAACGAAGAATGCGTGGTATAACAACTTTTACGACTCATAAAAGTCTTTTCCAGTGGAAAAGACTCCCTTTCGGAATTAACTCGGCAAGCGAAGTGTTTCAAGATGCTATCCAGCATGCATTGCAAGGATTGAATGCAGTTAAAAACATTGTTGATGACATAATTGTTTGGGTGCGAACTCAAAACGAACATGATGCCAATCTTCAAGCTCTATTGCAGAGACTAAGAGACACCGGATTGACTGCAAAGAAAAGTGAGTGCCTTTTCAATGTGGACAGTTTATGGTTTTATGGCATGATTCTTAGTAAGAATGGGATTAGGCCTGACCAAGAGAATGTTGTTGCAATAAAAAATACACCTGCCCCAAACTATTTAAAAGAACTTCGTAGCTTCCTAGGCTCGTGAATTACTATTCGAAGTTTATTCCTAATTTCTCTACCATTACGGCGCCGCTACGGAAATCGGATCGCAAAAAGGTTCCATGGACATGGGACGATAGTCATCAAGAGGCCTTTAATCAGGTTAAATCTTCGCTATCTGAACAGTGTACGTTGGCCTATTATTACCCAAACTGATCAACGAATGTTGTTGTGGATGCTATTTCTGTAGGCCTATGGGCTATTTTGGTTCAACATGACGAACAGGGCATTTTGAAAGTGATTGCTTTTGCTAGTAGAGCACTAACAGTAGTTGAACAGCGGTACTGCAGACAAAACGAGAAGCGTTGGCATGTGTGTGCGCACGCGAGAAATTTCATTTATATTTAGTTGGTTGTCAGTTTACCTTGTATACAGATCATCAAGCGTTAGAAATCCTTTACTCAGCAAAGGCGAAACAATCTGCTCGAATACAGAGATGGGTATTGCGCCTCCAGCAGTATAACCACACGGTCAAGTATCGTCCAGGCACAGGGAATCCGGCAGATTTCCTTTCGCGGGCACCAATTAACGAACCCTCCGGACAGTCTATTGCATGCCGAAGAATATATTAACTTTATAACAGAGCAAGCCATTCCCAGAACAATTACCTTGTCGGAGGTGCAAGAAGCGACAAAGAACGATAAAGAAATGCAGTCAGTTGGACGAGCACTTCAGTTTGGCAACTGGAAAGACAAATCCATATCAGCTCATTTTGCAGTACGGCATGAAATAACATCAGTTAGGGGTGTACTGTTGAGAGGACACCGACTGATTATACCAATATCACTTCAAATTGAAATAGAACCTTAGCCCTGGCACACAAGGGACACTTGGGCATTGTCAAGACCAAACAAAATTTGAGAAGCAAGGTATGGTGGCCTAGATTAGATGAAGAGGCAGAGCAACATGTAAAAGAGTGTTTGACGTGCCAAATATCTAGTAATCCTGAACCCCCTCCGCCTCTGGCAGTTATCCCACCCCCAATGGCACCATGGTCATGTATTCATGTTGATTTCTATGGACCAGCAACTACAGGAGAGCATCTATTGGTGCTGTTAGATGAAAAACCGGATTCCCAGAAGTTGAAATTATGAATAAAACCACAGATTTTCATACAATACGAGCGTTTGAAAAAGTTTTTGCCCGACACGGACTGCCAGACACAATTTAAAGCGATAATGGGTCGCCGTTCCAGTCCAAGGAAGCACCATCACCGTGTAACACCTTTATGGCCCCAGGCCAATGGAAAAGTGGAAGGCTTCATGAAACCTATATGGGTAAAGGTATTCGAGCGGCTTGGGCAGAGGGTCGAGATTGGCAAAGAGAACTAGTCGCATTTTTGATGAATTATCGTACTACGCCCAACCTATCTACAGGTGTGGTGCCAGCCGAGATGTTTTACAAACGAGTAATTCGATCTACCGTTCCGTCTTTCTCTCAGGCACCTGCCAATACAGCTGCGAAAAGAGTTTTTAAAGGAAAGACTAAGTCAAAACAATATGTAGATGCCAGAAGACGTACACGAAAGTCCACGATAAAGGAAGGAGATACAGTGTTGGTGAAACAGAAAAAGAAGAACAAGTATACAACCATGTTTCGTCCTCAACCATACAAAGTTATCAAATTGAATGTGCGATATTCCAGAGTAACAGCGCAAAGGGGTGATCATGTGATTACAAGAAACGTTTCGCATTTTAAGGAATTTAGTGGAGCGTATAGAGAAACTGTTCCAAATCCTGAGTCAGACGATGATATTACCATTGCGGCCGCACAAGCAGGACAGGACAATGATCAAGACATAACTGAAGATAGGTATCCTTTAAGAGCAAACAGAGGCGTACCGCCAGATTTTTATGGAGGTAAGTAACTCTGATAGTTATTTGTATGCTTAGTTGTGTTATCAATCGTAGCATGGACTACAGGTTTTAGTTCACATTACAAGATTCACTTAGAACTATTTGTTGTGAGAGAAAGAGGGAGATGTTATGTTGGTGTTACATGAAGTATAGAACGTTGCATCTGGGGGTCGGGCGATTTTGGAAGTGAGCACATGTGTGTAGGTTTTGTTTTAGGTACGTTGAAATAAATAACGGTTTTGAAGATATAACACGAACCCTACTTCTAACCCAGACCGTAATTTACTAATAATTATTCTTTTTGCAAAATCATGCAGACCTTTATCATTTAATTAATATACCTTTAAAATACTGATTATTGATTAATTTTAAGCGGCTACATTATCCATGACAAACTGCAAAGAATGAAGATATTTCTCATACTTTCCTGCAACTTATCCAATATATAGTTAATTAAATACGCCTCCGCCCATTTAGTGCTACTAAATTGTAAGTTTTGACATACTAAAATGCAGTTTTCTGACCATCAGAATTCTGTCAAAACTTCCCCAAAGTCCAGGAAATGGCATTTCAGAGACTCCAAATTTAAAAATTTCCTCGGCCCTTTGGCTCTCGCTTTCAGCTCCCCAATCAAAAAGAGCTTCCTACAGCACTGTAATCCTAACCCTACTCCTAACCCTCTAATCCTAACCAATTTTCCTCGTCAACGGGGAAACTCTGCTGTTGCATTTGGAGCAACTTTTTTCGGCTCGAGCAACTTCAAGAAACGTTTTCCGTTTTGAGCAACTTTTTACTACACTCTAAGTAGCGAAAAATGGTATGACCCCCAGCTTTAGCCTCTTCGGCACTCTAATGGGTTAACCAAAAAATCTCACAATGTAAACCCATTGCGCCCCTGTACTTATTTTTTACCTTTTTTACGCCAGTCAATTTTACTTGTCAACAGGAAACTCTGCAGCTTAATGGGTTAAATAGGCATGCATATTAATTGTTTAAAGCACAAGTAAATAAAAGATCTGATGCCTTTTACAACAACTTTAAAGAGCTCATTTCTATACAGTACTGTATATTTATTTTATTGGTGCTGGTGGTGGTGGGCGGTTGGTTACTATTTTATGGAATTCTGGAATGTTTTGTGATGCAGGTGGTGGGGAAGGACATTTTGTTTAGTTGTTAATTGAATTTTGCCAGCCCACCCCGGTCATAAATAATGAATGGTCCCTAAAGATTGGACGACACCAAGAACTTAAAATATATGCTTCCTGCATCAGATACAGTAGTTATATGCGGCATAATTATCAACAAAGCTTGGGAAAATTGATTGCTATCATTACGATATGATAGATATCGAGTTTTAAGGTGTAAAATAGATATGATAGATATCGAATGTTAAGGTGGAAAAATATTCAAAATCATGGTAGATATCGAGTGTAAAATATTCAAAAGGAACTCAGCTACTCAACGGATCATCTCGGAATAACAATGTCTAATAAATATATTAACTAACTCTCGGAATTATAAATTCTAATGCAATGTTTATTAAACGCATAAAATTGGATCAGCACGATAATTTTTGAAAATTACTATATGAAATGTATTGGTTTAGAGGTTATGGCGGACGACCGTTACCAAATTCATGGTATTAAATTTGTTATATTTCACTATAATTTTGGCAATATTTGAAATTTTCAACCATTCATAGTATTATGCTGCATTAATCAAAAAGCGGTCAGCTTTGTATGCTTACTAATTCCTGGTTCTCTGGTACAAGTCACCTATTCATTTTGATACAATTTCGAACTAGGTTCATGTTTCGTCGTCAAATTCGAAATCACCATAATTAAACAGTTAAACGGAACAAAATTTTGCCATGTTAATAAATAATTGTACATGTCTTTATTAGATCAAGATATAAACGTCGACATAGTTCCCTCGTCACCAAAATATATACGAAATGTGGGAGTTAACAGTTTTCAGAAGCCAATGGGTGAGAAACATGGATCCGAAGAAATTCGTGCACTGTATTATGGTATTAAGTCGTTACTGGAATTTGAAGTTGTTGACGAGTCTGAAAATTTTATCGAACAAATCAGAGACAAAAGTTGTTATGATGTTATGGTAGAGTACTCTGACAATAATGTTTTGTATCGTTTGGAATGGGGAATGAGAAATGGCCTAATTCGTGCGACGTTTTTGCCAGAGCTTGTTGGAGAAAGGCAAATAATTGTACGACTTGTCGATAAGAGATCAAACTCAATACGGAAATCAACCTGTACCAGCCAAATGCCCATTAACATCCTTTGCGCACCTTGTTCACCCTCGCTAACTCTGCAGTTCCTCGATAATCATCTTGAACGACGATGTACGGCCGGGAAAGATTTCATTTTTCAGGTACCCTTCTACGACATATTTGGTAATCCTGTACACAAGGACTCGAAAGAAACGTGTCAAATAGATGCTCAGGCATCGCCTTCCAAAACAGAAGCAAAACAATATCGAAATGAGCAGGTTAATGTTGAAAAAGATATTGCATCGAAAGATTTAAGTTTTGTTGCCACTGTGTGTTTCGAAACTGCTGGTCTTAGAAAGGTAAAGTTTACCGTAAATTCTGGTTCTCAGGCATGTTTGAAAGATATTTCTGTCAAAGTTCTTCCCTCTACTCCACATCACTTGAATAATGTTAAATTTACAACAATTGGTGCTGTTGATGAAAGCTTTTTTGCGGATCCTTCTGTGATGTATAAGAACCAGTGGTCAACCGTCAAGCAGACATGGCTGATTGCTACGACAATATTGTACGGGAACTGGGTAACGACTACAACATTAGCTTGAAGATGTTCGACGATAAGGGGAAGGAGATGGAAATGGAATGCAAAAATGTGGAGATTCGAAACGGAAGACTTCAAGTGCAAGTGAAAATTAATCAGGCCGGGAAAGATAATTTAGTAATAACCGTTACACATAAAAGTTTCCCATATCTTGAGTTCCATTTGATTGCTATTCAAGTGCAAGTCAACGACGCACCATTCTACCTGGCCGGATCGACATTCCGTTATCCCGACACTGCCGTCGCTGGGGAAGAGATTCAGTTGCAAATCCTTCCATTTGATGTATTTGGTTGCCGCTTGCATGCTTGCACGAGTACGGATTATAATCTCACCGGAGCTATCTCAAGTTCTCCTTCGGATGTAAACGAGAACAAAGAAACCATGGACTTCAAAACAATCAAGAACGAATCGAATGTTGTAATTTGCGTTTCAATCGTTCTAACAAGAGCTGGTAGAAGAAAAGTGACGATGGTCGACAAGGATAGTAAAGGTAAGAGAACGAGCCATCACTTACATTGTGAGAACAATTTATTTTAAACTTAATGAACCGTCTGTTACGTCCATGGATAAGCGGATGCAAATGAAAAATATTGCGTATTCCAATGTGAAACTTCCCGAAATACTACGCTTTTAAATTATAATTTTCATGGCAAAATGTTAGAATGAATAAGAAGGAATATATGTGTGCTAAATTTGGTTGCATTTTTGACTAGCAGCAAATATTTTTTTTTTAATTTTAATTTCATATTTAATTGGGAGCTCATGCCACTTATAATAAGGCGTCGACTTTGGTGGCGTAAACGAATGAAAATCATATTTCTAATATACTACAACATCTGGATAACGATATAAACGAAATTTGCCAGGTATAAAGTCCTTAAAATGCTAAATTAAATGGTGGTATTTTAGTACAAATTGCATGTATCGATTGAGCTAGAGATCTGACTTCAAAGGATCGATCCTGAGAGATCGATTTTTACTGGAGTACAGTAGGAGTACAATAGGTCAGACTGTGACGTGCAGGGTTTATTTTAAGAAAAGTTTAGAACTGCACATGTTATATTATTATTATTAATTAACATATTTAGACAGGTTGACTTCTTCAGGCAGTGTACCGCCTGCTATCAATGAAGGACCTGTATTTATGCTAAAATTAATTAAGTATTTAACTAAGATTGTTTTCTTATGACATAGAATGTACAAAACATGATCACTAAACATACATTAACAATAGTACGAAAATGTTCACAATTACGGCGAACTAAAGTTAAAAGATTCAACTTTTCTTTTCTTTTGTTAGGAATCTAACGAAGCATCACGTGTTTGACTGGGGGGAGGGGGCAAAGGATGTTTATCTACAGTATATTTAACGTTGTAAATTTATGGTTAACGTTGCAAATTATGATAGACTCTTAATTTGTATATACAATCTTTGCCAGAAACTATGGGACATCTGCTGTAATTTCATATAATTTCAAAGGAATAGCGCTCCCCGGGTGGAAAATATGTATCAGGAAATGGTATATTTCATCCGAATGCATGTGAAAACTAGATTGTCCCAATCTATATTGTCAAAGATTGTCTGTTGAAGTTATTACGTTTACTCTTAAATTTAACTTAATTCAACTTGTAGACATCATAAAGCTGTGTGCGCAGTTATATTTTCATAATTTCTTCACCTCGTTTAAGTCCTCTAGCAATTTGATCGTTGCACACGGATAGTTTTCGTGTACTGTGTTATACAATGTTTGCGTATGCTTGTGTTAAGCCTAGTTTCCATTTGATCGTTAGTTGTCGCTGGCACGACAAGCAGTAGATATGAAATAGTCTAATATCAATAGTCTTTTTGTGTGTTACATGCAAATCAGTCTTAATGATTGCAGAGTTTTTGTTGACACTCTATTACATCAGCCACTTGTCGTGCGAGCAACACCTAACGACCAAATGGAACTAGGCTTTAAAATCCGGCTGAAAATCGCGTATATTTAAAATCAGATTTAAAGGCTTGTAGTGCTACATTTTAGTCACAATTCATTGAATTCCATGCATGGTAACGGTATTGGGACTCTATTTAAAGAAAATTGACAACTGAGCCATCTTGTTAGCATAACTAAGCGCGTAGGCCTATATGTGACAATGAGGTCAATATAGAAACGAATCTCACCACGAATCTCACCATATTTTCATGGGCTCACACGCCATAAAAGCCTTAATAGCAGACAATATCAAGCAAATTCACCCTAGACATTTAAAGGCCCACATATTTTACAAGATAGGACGATTTTACAAGTTTTCGAGACGAACTGACTAAGATACGAATGATTTTCTAGCAACGATTCTCACTTTCTGTCCTAAAATAGCCAATGAGATATAGATTTATTTACAGCTTTGTAGTGAGCTTCGTTCAAAAATGAACTTAAAAAGGGATACCTGCAAAGTTAACCGATTGTAATTAAGGAAAATTGTTTCTTGTACTCATATGGTAATAGCATAGTTGCCCGGGTTTCTTTTGTTTCAACAGGGCTTACCTTGCGTTGCGATTAAAGCGTAAAAAGTGCGCATGTGCAACAAGCTTTTACATCCCACAAGCAATGAAGCAAATGTTTTAGCTTAAATACGCTGATTCCAAGCAGGGCATGTTTGTCCATTTTTAAATGGGAGCGAAACTATGCTATTACAAACTAATAGCATGGCTTTTCGGGAGATTAGTCGGGCTTCGCCCTCGGGAATTCCGCAAACCTGCCTCGGGTTACGGGGCCATTTAATCACTAATCTAGCCATGCTATTACTTATAAATATAAAATGTAAGATAATTAAAATTTATAGTAACGCAAATCAGCGTTTTAGACCGGGAATCGTTAGTGAGCATCGTGTAATATGAGACGTATGAAATTTGACTACTGGCTGCTTTATGAACTGTGCTATAAATCTTATACTGGAAATGAACTTTAGCTTGGAAATGGCCCCAGTTCTCAAGTATAAGTTGTTAAAGGCGAAAACAATGCATATTTACTTGTCTTTCTCCGCAGTTTGATATGTTGTGAAATGAGATTTAAACCTACTCGACTCACAAACCGATTACTTCTGAATAGTTCGGTTCCAGATTCGTCGTAATTATGGCCTTTTGCATCATTCCAAAGACAGCATGTAACTTTTGAGTAAATTTCCGCGGATTTTTCACAAGGAAGAGAGCGATGATGATATTAGACGTGAATATAAATGTGCTTATTAAGCATATAGCTGGTAGCACACATACCTGTATTGGTATATAAAGTGTTAAACATAACCCTTCCCCCCCTCGGAATGAGTGGATAGTATCTAAAATTACCAAAACTTTGCCGACACATGCTTTGATACTGGAATATATGTTATTCGGCGGTATAAACTTAGAACTAAAACGTTTAATTAATAAATTTCAAACACCATTGATCACCACCAAGACAATCTTTGCCAGAAACTATGGAACATCTGCTGTAATTTCATATACTGACTTGAATGGAATACCGCCCCCCGTTCCCCCAATTCAATGTTGGGCCAACAAAACTCTGATGTCGGGATACGCGGCGCAAACATTGAAACGGGTGGGGGGAGGGAGGGTGGAAAATATGTATCAGGAAATGGTATATTACAACCGAATGCATGTGAAAGCTAGATTGTCCAAATCTATATTGTCAAAGATTGTAGGTGGCAGAATAAAGGTGTGGTTGAGTGGGGTCAATCTCTTTTGGATAGCTTCGCTCGCCCCAATTTTACCTCCTCTCAAATCAAATCAAATCAAATTTATTAATAAATATATAAACAATCTGTATATACAATACTATCCGCTAATAGCAAAGCTAATCGAGGCGGATAGTAGAATAAAATTAAATAAGATATGCTCGGTTATAATACAAAGTAGCACAATATACAGACAGCACAAAGCATCATTTTCACAAAGAAGCATTAATCTCGTATTAATTTCCAATTAATTTCGAAGGAAGCGCTATTTTCCATGCTTACTCATATATCTAATTAATGTGGGCACATCAGCGTAATCGTCCTCAATCTCAAATATGGTTAAAAGACTTTTCTGAATTTTCAAATTGTGGGAATACTATTACAAATTTTAACACCTGATTTTACAAAGGATGTGATAGTTGTAGTTACTTTTGAGTATTCAACATAGAAGTTATTGGATACACAATGTCCATTACTCCCAGCACGTATGTGATTTGTGAGGAAAATGGTGATCTGGTGATCCTCTCCCTGAAAACATTTAGATTTGTGATGCCCAACGACAGCATTTCTGGCATCTGGATTTTGTCATTTGAGGTTATATTTTTGTTAATTTGTTGACTGCACATTTCAGTTTTAAGAACTGCACAAAGGGTTTAGAACTGCACATTTTGTGTAGAGCTGCAGATTAAAATAAACCCTGGTGACGTGCCGCTTTCAATCGTGGCAGTCTCACATGGCTACATGCAATTCTTTATCTGTGACTGTTTATGAAATAATGCGGCCGAATATATTTAAGGTAATTAAAAGGTGATTCATAAGTTTTGCATTGCGCACTTTTAACACAAATATCTGATAGCAAATTCTAGCTAATGTATGTGACCGAACTGCGATGTAAAGTTATAAAGAAAGAGTAACGGCAAAGAGAAAAACGCACTGCATTCATCAAGCATCCTTCAGGAAATATACCTTCAAAAATGACAGAACTCTGGCTATGGCTCGCTGTGCAACTAACATTAAACCACATCGTGTTGCATGTTTAACCGTTGCATGAATCTCTTTTAAAAGATCCGTGATCCTACTCTTTTATTTAATATTGTTGTTCTTCTATACGTTTTATTATGAGAATATCGTAGATTTCATCCATTGGAAGTTTCAGCAAATTCTCATTCCAGAACAATTACTGATGTACTGTTTAATAAACGAGCAGGAGTGTTTTCTTAGGTTTAAAGGCATGAGCGCGCAGCACGAGTGGATTTAGACCATTGCGCTGTAAAACACGAGCGAGGAAACGGCATGACGCCCCTGATCTATGTGTGACGCAGGTCCGCCCCGCATAGTTTGATTTCTATTCCATGCCTAGGTTCGAACAGGCGTGCTTGTTTTGGCTTCGTTTTAAAATTACGATGTGAAAAACACAACTCAAGCTGAATTCGCGGTGGTTTTGTGAGTTCTGCGGTATTAGAAAGCAGAAGTTTTTTTCAGGATTCCTAATAATGGTGATGAGGGGATGTTGTAGTTTAGATAAAGCCGGGGATTTCACTGCGGGGTTCGACATTTCGACTATTTATAATGCGACTCACGAGGTGATCAGGATTTTTTGCAAAACAACTGCGTTCGTCTGTATGTTTATAAGATGAAAATATAGATGAAGATAAGTTTTCGGCTGTTGTCATAAATGCTGCAACTGGAATATCTGTTTGGAAATCAGGTATGCCAAATTAGATGTGTTTTTGAATTTTTCGTGTTAAAATTGGTAATTGTTTTTCATGTCAC